TCCCAGGGTTTTCCAACACTACCACATAATCACTCTATAAAAGTATCTGGGTAGCTTTGAGTGGCTGGGCTCCCATTTTCTCACTTCCCTCAGTCTGGGGCTTGGCATCAGAATAAAGATGAGAAAGGACACAATGATGTGCTCACTGGAGCTGCACATTGAAAGAAAGCACTCTGCATTGAATAATGGTCTCCGTTTGTCTAGGGTAACCTGTGAGGGTCCTTTTAGGAATTTCTTCCCCAAAACAAAAACCTAAAGGGATTGCTAGTCACTCCATCATTTGTAAATGCTGTAAATACATATGGATTATTTCCCTTGTTTAACCCACTTCCCAACAGGAACAGCCCTTTGTCAATTAAAATCATTAAAGTGTTTTAATTACTATTAAATTAAAACATCCCCTTGCTAATAAAGCTCTGATATAAATACACTGATTTGTATTGCTTTACAAGTATTTTAAGATTTCTGTATAGATTTTTAAAATATGCTTTGCGAGGCTGGATAAATGGTTCAGCATTTAGAAGCATATGTTATTCTTGTAGAGGTCCTGAGTTCGATTCCTGAACATCACACACACACAGTGGTTCAATAACTGTCCATAGCTCCAGTTCCAGGGATTCAGATGACCCACTCTGATCTCCTAGTGCACCAGACATACATGTGCTGCACAGTCATACATACAAGTAGACATACACATAAAACAAAATAAATAAATCAAATCTTTAATGTGCTGTTTATGATTCAGTTAATAAAACTAAAAAAAATAAATATTGATAAGTGAATAAAAATTTCTTCTTACAAATCTGACCTGTGATAGGACTGTCTCAAGTTTAAAATACAGATCAATATATGAGAAAGGGACTCAATATGATCAATAACTCGTTCAAGGAACTGGTACTGTACTTCCTATTCTCCAAGCCTTCTGCACTGTAAGGTGTAAAGGACCACTAATGAAGACTTACAGAGTACTGCACAATAGGCTTACTTATAAACCTTAGTATATACAAATGTAGCAAGGTAGATTATAGATGTGCTTCTTAATTGCTACCAATTAACTAAAATGAATAAGAACACAAAATGTGGAGTAATTGCACATAAAATACAATGTGTGAGGTCAAGAATCCCAGACATGTCCATCTGATCCTCTAAATCTGTGGAATTTAGTGCAGTCTTATGAACAAAAAAGGATATTTAATAAAGTACATCTTTACAGAAAGATAGATAGACAGACAGACAGACAGATAGATGCAAAGACAGACAGACATACTTTTATTTAATCCCAGTACTTGGGAGACAGAAGCAAGCAGATCTCTGTGAATTCAACACCAGCCTGGTCTACAAGACCAGCAAGTTCCAGGACAGCCAGGTCTACACAGGGAGAAGCTGTGTCTCAAGAAATAAAAAAGAAAGAAGGAGGAAGGGAGGGAGGGAGGGAGGAAGGAAAGAAGGAAAGATGGAGTGCACCTTTCCCAGTTTTCCAATAAATTTGACATTTCATAAAACCATTAAAAGGAAGTGCCTCTCTCTGGATGGAAGATTACAGATGATATATTTTAAATGTTTTTGAAATTATTCTCAGAATGTATTAGTTATAATTAAGTTTATCTTTTAAAAATATTAATATTTAAAGAACTCTATAATTAAATATAAAGAACAAATCAGATAGAAAAATAGGTAAAATATATAAAGAGAAATTCTACAAGATAATGAGAACCAAAAGAAAGAAATTTTAAATGTAGTACTAGTAACTCTACAGGGAAAGGTGAGCTTGCACACTTTTGTTAGTCTATGCACAAAACACCTCTGCCACATAATACATTACCAATGCGCACACACATTCCTCTTGACATGCAAAAGCGTTACCCAGCCAACATGATATTTCCATTCTTCCGTGTATGTCACAGTTCATAATAGGAAAATAATGGAATCATTCAATGGTCCATCAAGTCAAACTAAGGGAGATGGTAGGAAAGCCTCGAGAGCCAATAAAATAGAACCATTCAAAGGAAAATTGCACACACATAGGTGTAGATATTACAAAACTCTTAAAGTTATGTATGTATATGTTTGTGCATCAGCAATCTCCAGACCATATACTACACTCAAATAACATGTTTTGTACTTGGAAAAGAACAGTGAGTAATAAGGAGGGAACAGGTATAGGAGGGGTTTTAATTATATCACTTTTTGGGAGTTTGACGATGTAAACTTTGAATCCTTATTTCAAAGATAATTTATTTTAGCCTCAGATTTTAATGGGAGATGAGCCTCATATACAAATCAAGATTCAAAGTCACTTCTGTAAACTCTTAATAATCCATGCTCTTTCATCAAATACTATAGATTTAATCATCTCAGCTCAATGTATGTCCATATTGCCTAATCCATTTAGTACTTAGCTCTTTACATACCTGTTAAGTACTTAGTTCTTTACAAAAATTGACAATCTTTTTCCTTTTCTTCAAAATCTGAATCTTAAAATATGCAATAATCAAGAAGCTAATTCAGCTCTATGTTTAAGTAGCAGCTAGCAGTTAAAACTCATTATGGGGATAAAAGAATAACTGGATACACGGTGTTTTACCCTGTTCTAAGCAACTAACAGTAAGAAAGACTCTCCTGGTGGAGAAGAACAATGCTGTTACCAACCAAAGGCTGGAAAGCTTGAAAATAATCCACCTGCTGCAGCTTGACGTCTCCCACAAGGGTTATAGGATGGGCAGTAATGTAGCCTAGACTCAACAAGTTAGGCAGTCAAAGTCCACATTCTTGTAGATGACACTTTGGTGGTCTAATCCAAATGGCAAGTTCTGCTTCTTCTGGCCTAGACAGAGCTTCTTCTACAGGCGCTGCCAATGCCTCCCCCAGTCTCTTCTCTCTACCTGAAACACTCTATCTGTGACTGGAGACTATCTCCCTACTTTTAAGTACCCAGTTAAATTTCTGGACATTGAGAAGCTCACCCCAGCCTCCCTTCCTGAGGTTTTACTTTGGTCAAGGATTTCTAAACTCTGGTGTGACATTTGACTGCTCACAATGGCATGCCATCGTTTTGTGACTCTTTGCCATATCCATTTATATGTAGCAACTTACCTCTGAAGGCATGTCAGCCCTCAACACCAGATCCATTAAATATCCATAAAGTTGACCACTCATATTTTTAATGCAACCACTGAGCTACCTCTGTCCTCACTTGAAGTAGGTAAAGAACTTGTCATCCGGGAAGAAGCCAAAGTTGGAGTCAAGATCACAAATTATCCTCTCTTTCCTAATCCAGGAGCTCAGAAGGGAGGGGGCTGGCATGGCAGTTGGAGTAACAAACTTACCCTCCTGGCTATTTGCCTACATTTTTACTCAAATTCTGACTGCTACACTGTATTGCTGGCAACTTCAGTTCTCTTCAACAACAAAGACTTCCCAGTTCAGAATATATACACTTGTGTGGTTAGTAGGAAAAGTGAGCAAAAATCCAACATGATAAACAGGGAGGAATGTCAAACTCTTATTCAGTCCATGAAAAACCTAGTCATAATTCTAACTTTACTCCCTGAAGTATGGTGAGAAGGCATAGCTCATTTGGAAAATCTGACCCACAGCCCAAGACTCAATACAGTGAAATGCTTTGTCCCCCCACTGCTCTTACCACCCCAGGAACGTTCTATATGTAATTATTTAATCCCCAGCTGAAAGCTAGCAGACAATGAAACCCCCACAAAATGTTCACCCTGCTGAGGTGTTCAAGTATCAGTTCCACAGAAAACATTCCCAAAGCTTTTCATGTCATTTTTCCAAGCCACCTTCTCAGTCATGCCTAAAATGCCTATACTTGAATATTCACCGTCTAGTAAAATATAGTCTTGTCCAGCAATTCACATCATTCAACCACCAGAACTTTGGTGGCACAGGTAAAATTTCCAGTCTTGTTTTGTTTGGGTTTTTGACCACCTTTTTTTTTTTTTTTAACATCACATGCCTTTGGGTGGTTTTTGACTGTCATCTGTTGCTGTTGGATTTCCCTCCAAGGCATCAAGGTACTTTTATACTAGTTCTTATACCCATCAATGGCTCCCTCTGAAGAGCCTAATAACTCATAGGAGGATTTTTCATATGAGGTCTGCCTTATACTAATAATAAAGGCTATAGGGGTTATGGTAGGAAAATAAGGTAAATACAGTTACCGCCACTAAACTGGACAAATAAGATTAATTAAAATAGTCAATTTTGTAATCTATATTTTTATACCAACACAAAGTAAAGGCCGACTTAAGGAAGTCAATGAGGTCAACACAGGGAGAAAAGCCAAGTAATGGACATGGATAGAGAAAGTGGCTTTGACTTTCACAACAGACGTCTTAGGAAAGCATCCCACCTTGATACTTTCCAACATGGAGTCTAAAAAGGGGACTGTTGTCAAAAAACATGAGAATAAATAAATAAATAAAGTAAAACCCTAGCCCTCTGCTGGTGTGATTCCAGGACTGCCTATGGCAAACATAGCAGCTTTAGACTGATTACCTTTGCAATGGGCTTATCTACCTGTCATGATAGAACTCCCTGAGAACTGTTTTGACCACTTTGTAGCGGGACACTCAAACCAAACAAAGAAGCAAACCCTATAAAACCATAGCTAATGAGCCCAGGGTAGAGGCGAACACAGAAGGGAATCAGCATGGAGCAGATTTCAAATTGCTCAAAGACACCATATGGTGGGCGTGCTTTAGAAACTCAAGAGACAGAAAGAAGTGGAACCACTAGAAAGAAATGGGGAAAGAATCCCAAAGACATTCACAGTTCACCAGAAAGCTCCTGGTATGCAATAAGACCTCTGGTTCACCAGACTCTGCCCTGGAGGTGTTCTTTAGAAGTGCTTAGTGCAGACACTCTGGGTGATACGGTGTCAAAGCAAGTTCAGAGAAATAACTTGAAAGAATTGAGGGGGTGGTGCATTCAAATCAGCCTGATGCATTAAATAAGGATGCAATGGAGAGCTGGGTGCTTACCAGGCCACCTCCACAGGTGCTGAAAGAGGCCAGGGAGCCAGGATGGCGAAGCACCGTCCCAGTGTAAAAGCAGGCGGCGTCTGGCGGCGTGGGAGGGTGAGGGTCAGCCTCTGCCCGAGTGGACTCGGGACCTGTATTTGGCCACTGCTCCACCGCGAAACGCTGCGCCAGGAAGCGACCATCTCTTCGGAGCAGTAGGTACAGGTCCCGGGAGAGAGCCGGGATCCTCAGCAGCACCTCCTCTGTGCTGGGTTCCTCTTGCTGGGCCGGGGGCGGGGACGAGGGCGGTTTGGGGGGCGACGTAGGCTGCCATGAGGAGGGGGATCCCGAGGACAGGGCCATATCTCCGCTGGATCCCCGAGGCAGCTCCTGAGATTCGAGATCTTCCTCGGCCTCACCACCTGGCTGCGGAGTAGATTCGAACCAGGATTCTGACTGGCCTCCGGCGTCTTCTTCCTGTGGCGCTCGAGCCACGGAGCGCACCTCGCGTGAGCTGCCGGCAGCCTGCGCTCGACCGCCGCGCCCCCAGCCCGGGTCTGCGCTGCCCCAGCTGCCGCCCGCCGCGTCCTGCGACTCCCGGCGCCAGAGTGCAGGAAACACGACTTCCCACTCCTCGGGGTCGGGTGTGAGCTGCAACCCTGCGGATGAGGCAGACAGACAGGCGCGGGACTTAAAGTTCACTCAAGCATTCAGGTACACGGTCCGCACAGATACCACGCGATTGCACTAATGCGAGGGAGACCACCCGTCTAATTCCTGAAACTCCTGCAGGACCCAAAGTCTTACAGACTTCGGCACTTTCAAAATAAAAGTGTGGCGATGGCATTTTAGCATAGACTAACTGAAATCGGTTCGAACTCCAGCATAATCTCAAAAGTAACACTTGGCATGCTACCGGGTTTTCCTCCAGGTACGGTAAACACAGCTTTGAATCATTACTTGAGGTGGGGTTGGGGGAGCGGATCATTTTACAAATGAAGCCAAGAGAAATGAGCTTCGCTTGCTCTTGTGACCCGGACCTGCTCCAAAAGCTGTTTTCCTGCTACCCTCAGAGCTGTGCTCACCACGCACCGGGTGCACCAGTTCTGCCTTCCCAAGTGTCCTCAGTCCGCACTGACCAAGTAGGAGAGGAACTGGAAAGTCACTCTAGAACGTACCTGAGATGGTCCCCTGCGACAAGAAGCCCAGCTGGTAGAGGAGGCAGCAGCAGCAGCAGATGCGAGTCAGGCGCGTCTCGCGGCCCATCTCCACGGTGCGCACCTCCCGCGCGAACCACAGCGCACGCAGCCGCCTCCTCGGAGCGCTGGAGGCCAGGCGGCGACTGTGCCCAGGCTCTTTGTCTGCCAGGGGTGGGGGGCGGGGGGGGCAAGATGTGTGACTCCAGGAGCCCGGGCGGGGGTGGGGTGGGGAGGAGCGGCCAGCAGCGCCCCGGCTCTCTGCGCTCCAGCTCCGGGGCGAATTAGGTGATGAGTCGACTTTCTGTGCTGTGGACCGTGCAGGAGTTTCCAGGCCCGGCGGGCCAGAGCCAGAGCCCCGCGGGACGGTCCCGCAGTGGAGCCGAGAGCCAGGAAACGCGGGCAGAGCCGGGCGGTCTCCGGCTGGCCAGAGTAGTGCGGTCCCAACCGATGCTCTCCGCCGACACCGGCGCACAGCGAGGCCCGCGCCCGGGTTTGGACAGCTTGCCTAGCAGAGCTCTGTGCACAGTCCCCGGGACGCCGCGGCCAGCATAAGGCTGGCAGGGGGAGGGGGCGGGAGAGCGCGCTCTCCTCAAAGGGGTGTGGAGGGCAGGGGGAATCAGGCGGGTCACACCAGAATCAGGGACCCAGGGGTGCCCGCCAAGTGTGACGTAGCCGGACAAAGATCCCAGAACACAGCACACGTGCTCACAGACTGCGCGAGGGTGGTGTTGGGACCCAAACAAAGTCTCTCACCTGACTCCCGATTGGCCATTCCAAAAGACCTAATTTGCATCCTCCACCTTCTGCCCTACTGGGGTGGGGGTGGGGCTGTGGCTTAGGTAAATGCAGGTATGGGCTTTCCCCTTTCCATCCCTCCCTCCTCTCTCACGTTTCTCCTCTGTCCAGTTTGGTCACTATCTGCCCCCCCCTCACCTTCATCCCCACATTCCCCCCACATACACACACAGCAGAACTCAGTGCAGACTCGAAGATGAGCTGCAGCTTCTGTGCCAGATTTTTTTTTTTTTTTTTTTTTTGATTTGTCTATTCGGTGTCTCAGAACATTCCAACCCTGGAGGTAATAAAACCTCTCAAGGAGCACAGTAAACAGGATGCCAGGACAGCAACAAAGCAACAACAGATACCAGTGAGTTTTCAGTGCCTTCCATGCTACCTTTTCTTGGCTTCCTATTCATCAGTGTTTCCTTCCTTTCTTCCTTCCTTCCTTCCTCCTTCCTTCCTTCCTTCCTTCCTTCCTTCCTCCTTCCTTCCTCCTTCCTTCCTTCCTTGGAGTAAAATTAAGGAGATCAGCGGAAAGAATTGTATTCTAAAGCTGTCAGACCAGGTGAGAATATCTTGCCTCTTTTGTTTGTGTGTATAAGTCATATTTCTCTCCCCTTGGGTCTCAAACATTCCTCTTCCTTTGCTGTAGCCCACAACGCTCTGACAGTCACATAGAAATCAGACTCAAGGGAGATTAATCCAACATTTGTTTCAATCCTCTATACAAGGCCAGGTACCAAAAGTTAATACCAATACACTTGGGGAGGGGGGTGACCACAGCTGGGAGTGGCTTCCCACATCCTTTGTTGCTTTACCTTTGGTCCCTACTCTAAGGCAGTAAGTGCACCTTTAATGGAGGCAGAAGATCGTATTTCAAAGGCAGTCTATTTCAATTGTGTAAATAAGCTTGGTCCTCAATGTACTGGGTAGGCCACAGTTTTAGACACAGACATGAAAACACTGTAGATGAGTTTGCCACCACTGCCTCAGTCTTACTCTGTAAAATCCCATTAACTAGGTTGTGGGCTCTCAGAGAGCCACTTAGACACCTGTTGCTTCTTTTCACAAAACTCAGTACGCTGAATTAAACAGTGTGGAGACAGAGGCTGCTTCTACCAGCATTAGGATCTTAAAAATATTTCTCACATGTTTTTACAAGACCATATTAGAGAATAAGAGAATAAGACATTTCCCTCATATTTTTACCAAAATAAAATTATAAGGGAATTGCATACTAAATAATGTATACTTATTGGAATAAATTTGGGAATTCTTAAAACCCAATGAACTGTATTTTTAAGTTAAATGTGCTGAAAGTCAAGGATTGCCAATGTCAACTTCCCATCCCTAATTTAGTGACTCCCTATTAGTTCCTCATGAAAGAGGAAAATTAATTATTGCAGGAGTAATTACCTGTATTCTAGCCAGCTTTGCTTCATTCCATTTGAATACTAATATCCCTTGTTTTGTGCGGACTCAAATGCTTTTATAAATAGTTTGCACTGAGATGATTTCCACATTCATTTCTCCTATCAGGCTACCAAGTTGTGAAAGGTAGCCATGATTTCTTTTGTCTGTCTGTGCACAGCACCCTGATTAGTTTAATGAGCTACATTGAGTAATGCTCTAATCCTTGCAAAATGTCCACAATGTTATTTATTCCAATTTCAACTCCCCAATGAAGAATTAATACTAGTCCGAGCTATGGATCTGCTACTATCAACTTGATGTGTTTGTCTGAGAAACAAAACAAACCCAGAGAGAAATGGTGTGTGGGGAAATGCCTGTGTGCTAACTAGAAGAGATGTTTATGAGTATTGGTGAAAGTGGATTTGATTTGTGTATGTGCATGGAAGAAAAAACTGATCTAGTCTAGGAGCCAGTGAAGTGTGTGTTAAGATGGGGAAGGAAGGGGAGGACTGTGGCACGTATGTACATCAGCAATCTTCAAGGAAAGAAAATAGAAGCTGGGAAGTCTGTTGGTTATGATGGTAGCTCCATATTTCACCAGGCAGTAACCAGGCTCAGCATTGCTTCTGTGTTCTCAGAGCAAGGACACAGGGAGGAGAGGTAGATGGCTCAGCCTGAGGACATGAAGAGACAACTGAGCTTGTACACAAGGTGTTCACATGTTGAGTTTTACAACCTGGATGATCTATGTGCAGAGCTGGCTTCTCCACCTCCAAATTCTCTCTTATTCTCTCCATCACTGGCACTGGGCTTCTCAAAACATAAAGCTAACCTTAAATACTGCCCTCTCTAGGGGGAAAAAAAGACTTAAAATATTGAGGAAATACAATAAATAAATAAATAAATAAATAAATAAAAAATAAAAACTCAAAAACAAACAAAAAAAACCTTTTACTAAATTTCATGAGCTCTTTGTGTCTACAGTGAGATCACAGATTAAAATGTCTCTGGTCATGGTAGTATAATATGGATGATATTTTAACTCGGACTTTGAGGAATTAGCGAACAGACAAGACAGGATCAGAGAGGTGGCTCAGCAGGGGAAAACATCTACCACCAAGCCTGAAGACCCTGTGAATTCTCATGGTGAGACAGAACTAACTTCTGAAGTTGTACTCTGACACATGTGTACACAGACAAGCAGGCATGTGTGCATCTGCATGGGCACACACCCTTTTATACAAAAGAAAATTTTAAAACAATAAGCAAAAGAAAATAGGAAAGACACATGAAACAATAGTTTTGGGCCACTAAATCACATGCTAGAGTTGTGGCTCAAGAGAGGGACAAGTGAATAAACAATGTAAGTTCCTTAACCCACCAACCAGAAGCAATATTCAGAACACAAAGCAACCAAAGTCCTGCAGGCTAGATCAGAGAATAATGCAGCTAGAATTTACAAAGCAGTATACGGAGAAGAGCGTGCTCCAGGGAGTGCACTGTTATATAGTAGAATAGCAATCTTAACAGTTTAAAACCATTGGACATTTACCGTTTCGTGGTTTCTAAGGAATCTAGGAGTCATAGAGATGGGTCTTTCTGGTTAGAGGTCTCTCAAAAGATTGTAGTCAAATTCTTGAACAGGAGTATAGTTTCAAAACACTTAGCTGGAAGTAGGACTTCCATGGCCACAGCTTGCTTCACGAATTTTCCCACAAGGTTGTTGGGCACATGTAATTTTGCTCTTAGAGAGAGGCTACACAGAGAAGTTTTTAACTTCAAGAAAGGTAAGCTATCACTTCTTCCGTAGTCTGTGAGTACCAAAGAAATCACTGTGGTCTGCTCACATTCAAGGGGAAAGAGTGAAGAACATTTGAATGCATATTTTAAATAATTTATTTTACTCCTGTGTTAAAGTATGTATTTTATCTCCATAGGGTAGCTATACTCACCCCTTCCCAAGCCCCTCAACATATTGTTCCTATTTTTTTTTTTTTTTGGTACTTATATGTGTGTAGTGTATGTGGGGGACATGTGTATACGCATGTGCACATGCAAACATGTATTCATGTATGGAGAGGCTCACCCTTGATTGTGCTTCCCTTCATTTATTCTGACAAGTGTAGAATCTCATCATCTAAGTAATTCCCAGATGTATATAACAGCCCTTCTTGAATCATTGAATTCAGGCCCTCTCCTGTGTACAATGGAGAAACTTAAGGAGCATTCATTCAGTTCCCATATACCAAACTAATGGTGGAGGCAGCAGTTACAGAATTTGTGTTCAAAAGGAGTAAAGCTGAGACAGGAAAGAACCACATGGATGTAACACATGGTCACATCTTATGTACATATATGATATTCTCAATACAAAATAAAGTTAAAAATAAATCAAAACCTAGAAAAATATCACAAAAATACAAACACACACACACACACACACACACACACACACACACACACACACACACAGGAAAACCAGAAAGCCAGATAGGGTCTGTAGTTTATGTAATACTGCTATGTCATGTCAATTTCTCAGTTTGATGGCTGCAGAAAAATGTGTCATTGATCAAATCTAGATAAAGTGGTTGGGGATATATCTCAATGTATATAAACATTTGTGTGCAAGCATGTGGGCATGAATTTGTATTTCAGCCAACACCCAAGTATAAAAACCAGGCATTGTTATATATACCTGTAACCCAAGCATTGTAAATCCTTGGAACTTGCTGGCCACACAGAGTAGCCAAAATGGTGAGTTTCTTATTGTCTCAAAGCAATAAGGCAGACATAAATAAATAAAGATCTTCTGGTATCTTCTGGGTTTTTGGGTGTGTGTGTGTGTGCATGTTTAGATACACAAACAGTGTATAGCACACACAAAGGATGTTTGAAACACATATAAAAATGAACAAAACTCTTGGACATAGCACATAGAAAATATTATTACATTAGCAAATTGCTAAATGTAAGCATTCTAAAAATTA